GCCTGTGTATATTACTTTAAAATCACTTCGATTGCACGGCCTTTTAAGGAGCCTGTGAAATGTTTCAATAATGCATTGAGTCGGTTTCTTCTCAAAGCACAGTAAAGTCCCCCATGTGAGTCCGAAGCATCTCACGACGTCTGAATGGGAACAATTAGGACTTCAAATCAGGTCAGCTGCAAGGAGAGGAATGATAGGGTTGTTGTTGTTGTTGTTGTCTCAGACAGCAAAATAAAATGAGTTCAAACACAGAAGTACCAATGATGCAATGTTTCTATTTGGTTAGATGTGTTTTTAAATCCTCATCAGAGGGCAAAGAGCTTTATGTGGATAGTGGCATTAAAAAGGAGCATGTTGGTCATTTGGAGAGTTGATAAATCCCTTTGACCACAGGCTGTAAAATGTTTTTGCTAATAAATTGTTTATTTATTTAAATTCTGTACAAAATAAACACAAAGAATGACTAGTTTCTTACTTCATTCCAGCCCATGTCCCCTCTGTAGTTGAATCAGCCCATCATTAATCACTTCTAACCTTGTTCCAAGTGGATTGGTTGAGCCCATATTTCACTCAAATGAGGTACTTTTTTATTGACTTTATTATCCATTAAATCAATAAGAAACATCTGTGTCTTATTCTGTATTGTTAAGTTAGGCAAGCACAATATTTACATTATAGTTTTCTTTTGAGAGTGATAAAGAGAGCTTAATGTGGACACAGTGTATAAATAAGGGGCCGTTTCAAGATAACCTAGTTTATTTTGGACATGTGCTCACACTAAGTGGTTACTTTACTTCATCTTCAAAGTGGATTGTGTTTTCCACCATGTCACTCTAATAAGTGACTTTATTAGCCATTCAATTAAACAACGTCTGTGTCTCAAACAGTATTGCTATAAAGTAAGGCAAGCACAACATGTACATACTTAGTTGTTCGAAGGGTGCAGTTTTTAACGTAATCTTCAAAAGTGATTTATTTTTCCTATATTTAACTCTTTTCAGGAACTTTTCTAAACTGTAGCAACGCCCCCTTAAAACACATGCACGTCGTCACTGTGTCCTCTCTCCTCTTCAGTGATCGTCACTTGTTCTATTGTCATTTTCGAATCACATGCTCTACTGTATATCTACTTACAATGCCCTGTTTAGCCAACACCCATATCTAAAGGCTGCCTGAGTCACAATGAGAGGAGGACGCTGATACCGAAACCAGTTTGATTCAGCAGAAGATCCTCTTTCCTGTCAGTCGATCACAGAAATACTCAAATGTGACTCAGTGATTTTAAAGGTCACCTATCATGCTAAATCCACTTCTCCATGTCTCTTCTACATCAACATGTGTCCCCTCTTCTTCATGTCTCTTCTACATCAACATGTGTCCCCTCTTCTTCATGTCTCTTCTACATCAACATGTGTCCCCTCTTCTTCATGTCTCTTCTACATCAACATGTGTCCCCTCTTCTTCATGTCTCTTCTACATCAACATGTGTCCCCTCTTCTTCATGTCTCTTCTACTTCAACATGTGTCCCCTCTTCTTCATGTCTCTTCTACATCAACATGTGGTCCCCCTCTTCTTCTGTCTCTTCTACATCAACATGTGTCCCCTCTTCTTCATGTCTCTTCTACATCAACATGTGTCCCCTCTTCTTCATGTCTCTTCTACATCAACATGTGTCCCCTCTGTCTTCATGTCTCTTCTACATCAACATGTGTCCCCTCTCTTCATGTCTCTTCTACAGCAACATGTGTCCCCCGCTTCTCAAATGTCCTCTTGCTACATCAACATGTGTCCCCTCTTCTTCAGTGTCTCTTCTACATCAACATGTGTCCCCTCTTCTTCATGTCTCTTCTACATCAACACGTGTACCCTTCTTCTTCTTCTACATCACATTGTCCCTCTTCTTCATGTCGCCTTCTACATAACATGTGGCCCCTCTTCTTCATGTCTCTTCTACATCAACATGTGTCCCCTCTTCTCATGTCTCTTCTACATCAACATGTGTCCCCTTCTTCTTCATGTCTCTTCTACATCAACATGTGGTCCCTTCTTCTCATGTCTCTTCTACATCAACATGTGTCCCCTCTTCTTCATGTCTCTTCTACATCAACATGTGTCCCCTCTTCTTCATGTCTCTTCTACATCAACATGTGGTCCCCTCTTCTTCATGTCTCTTCTACATCAACATGTATCCCCTTCTTCTTCATGTCTCTTCTACATCAACATGTGTCCCCTTCTTCTCCATGTCTCTTCTACATCAACATGTGTCCCCTCTTCTTCATGTCCTCTTCTACATCAACATGTGTCCCCTCTTCTCCATGTCTCTTTCTTCATCAACATGTGTCCCCTCTTTCTTCATGTCTCTTCTACATCAACATGTGTCCCCTCTTCTCATGTCTCTTCTACATCAACATGTGTCCCTCTTCTTCATGTCTCTTCTACCTCAACATGTGTCCCCTCTTCTTCCATGTCTCTTCTACATCAACATGTGTCCCCCTCTTCTTCATGTCTCTTCTTACATCAACATGTGTCCCCTCTTCTTCATGTCTCTTCTACATCAACATGTGTCCCCTCTTCTCAGTGTCTCTTCTACATCAACATGTGTCCCCTCTTCTTCATGTCTCTTCTACATCAACATGTGTCCCCTCTTCTTCATGTCTCTCTCTCATCAACATGTGTCCCTCTTCTTCATGTCTCTTCTACATCAACATGTGTCCCCTCTTCTTCATGTCTCTTCTACATCAACATGTGTCCCCTCTTCTTCATGTCTCTTCTACATCAACATGTGTCCCCTCTTCTCCATGTCTCTTCTTCATCAACAGTGTCCCCTCTTCTTCATGTCTCTTCTACATCAACATGTGTCCCCTCTTCTTCATGTCTCTTCTACATCAACATGTGTCCCCTCTTCCCATGTCTCTTCTACATCAACATGTGTCCCCTCTTCTCCATGTCTCTTCTACATCAACATGTGCCCTCTTCTCCATGTCTCTTCTCCCTCAACATGTGTCCCCTCTTCATGTCTCTTCTACATCAACATGTGTCCCCTCTTCTTCGTGTCTCTTCTACATCAACATGTGTCCCCTCTTCTCCATGTCTCTTCTACATCAACATGTGTCCCCTCTTCATGTCTCTTCTACATCAACATGTGTCCCCTCTTCTTCATGTCTCTTCTACATCAAACATGTGTCCCCTCTTCTTCATGTCTCTTCTACATCAACATGTGTCCCCTCTTCTTCATGTCTCTTCTACATCAACATGTGTCCCCTCTTCTTCATGTCTCTTCTTCATCAACATGTGTCCCCTCTTCTTCATGTCTCTTCTACATCAACATGTGTCCCCTCTTCTTCGTGTCTCTTCTCCATCAACATGTGTCTGTCAAGCTGTTGGGTATATTTGCAGTAACCCGCTTGAAAGGGCTGGTAAAGTCCATAGGAGGTTTTAACTGAGAGTCACTCTACAATGACCACAACTTTGTTTCTTTTGAGTTCTTCTTTACTTTCGTTTTTGTTGTTTTTGTACAGCTTACTGTATGTAGTAAGGTTTTAAGGTAAAAAACCTTAAATAAAAAAATTATTGTAAATACAATGCAGATCAAATAATAAATGCAAAAATACATGCTTTACATATACTTAACACTTGTGAATATTGTTTTAATTTCTTAGTGTATTTTTATGAATTATGTTTTTAAACAGTTTTTAACTTATGCAGTCTCATTAAAAATGCAAATATAGACTGAATTTTTAGCAGTATGCAAACCGTTTTTATCAATCTACATCTCTCAATAAACAAATCACATTCGTTTCTAAATCAACAATCATGTTGCTTTAGCTTGAGGACATCAAACAAACAAATGACACTGAACTAGAACGCACGTTCTAACGTGCGCCACGAACGGCAAGTTGTATGACTCTAAACACACAGTTCGTCTCTCACCGGCCGCCTCTCCAGCTTGTTACGGCTGCACCAGTGCTGCTTCTTCGACGTGTCTGCTGCTGGTTCGCTGCTGCTGGACGCACGCTCTTTAGTTTGTCCTCTCCAGCTTTGATTACTGCCTTCTTTCAGGTGCTTTTAAAGGTGCAGCGACGCTGATTAGAGACTGATATCAGACTCTGTCAATCAGCCCGACTTTTTAACCCCTTGATCTCCTGTGAGGATTTTTCAAGTTGACTTCACAGTGTCCCCTCTTCTCCATGTCTCTTCTACATCAACATGTGTCCCCTCTTCTTCATGTCTCTTCTACATCAACATGTGTCTCCTCTTCTTCATGTCTCTTCTACATCAACATGTGTCCCCTCTTCTCCATGTCTCTTCTACATCAACATGTGTCCCCTCTTTCTTCATGTCTCTTCTACATCAACATGTGTCCCCTCTTCTTCATGTCTCTTCTACATCAACATGTGTCCCCTCTTCTTCATGTCTCTTCTACATCAACATGTGTCCCCTCTTCTCCATGTCTCTTCTACATCAACATGTGTCCCCTCTTCTTCATGTCTCTTCTACATCAACATGTGTCCCCTCTTCTTCATGTCTCTTCTACATCAACATGTGTCCCCTCTGTGGAAAGAGACTCTGAAAGATTCAGGAACAAAGTTTCTCTCTTTTTTTGATCCATTTCTATAAAAACCTGTCTGAAAATGAGCTGATCAGATTTTGGCCACTTTGTGATGTCATAACGATGTGTTGTCTTGTGTAACCATTAGCCAATCAGCAACCAAGGTAACCCCCCCCCCCTTATCACCTGAATCTCCTCCTAGAGCTCCATTGAGTTCTTTGTAACCAAATGTCTCTCAGAGGGGCGTGGGGAGGGGCTCCTTATTTTCATCTAAAGTAACAGACAGAGAATCAGCACTTTGGAAACAGGGCTGAAACAGAGGGGATTATGGGTAATGCTGCAATGATCTGTTTGGTGTTTCAGCCAATCAGAGACAGGCTCTGGATATATCGATGACGAACAGTCCTTTAAATGAGTGTACAGCATTTCTGTCAAAAACGACACACCATGTAATAATCTAAATCACTTTTATTAATTTAAGTTAGGTAGAGACACTGAACATTGGAACCACATTTTGCTCGGCTATGGAGCGGTCTTCAGAAAAAAATTACAAAAAAATAGGCTTATGTCATACTGTCAAAAAAAAGAAATGGCAAAAATTAAGAGGTAGAGAATTTAGGCTCATCGCTGTGACGGGGGGGGGGGGGGGGGGGGTGAGACCTACTGGAATGTCGTTGAAATTCAAAAAGTCGTCGTCCCAAAAGGTATATAAAATATTCATACATCAAATATGGTGAGACAGTCACCTCGACAACATTTAGACATTTAACGGGACAGTTAGTGTTACTGGGACAGCCTTCTTTTTTTTTTAACAAATAATATTGGTAACAGATACATTTACAATATAAACACCACAGATCTGGAAAATAAACACATTTCCTCTCGGTTTCTCCCCCAAACGCAGGAGTGACTGCTCGTTCAACCTCGCATGTTTTCTCACACACACCTGAAATAAAATGGAGATTTCAGCCACGATCTGGCCGTTAAACGTCCCGTCAGGAACACGTAGACTTCAACACGTGTGCTACATGTCGGTGATTTAACAACACGGGGTTATGGCGACGTCTTTATCTTTAAATCGTCGTTAAGCTGCAAAACCAATGTCCTGAAAGAGCCTCGGGAGACTTTGAAATGCTGCGTTCCCGCCCTACACACAGAGCGCTGGCCGTGTAGAGAACAATCTGAATTACAGTGCATGTCTACAAAAATAAAACAAAAGTGAAAAACATGTTTTACTGTCTGTACAGTAACATACTGTATATTTCCACAATGACACTAGATAAGGCTGGTGACTACATTACGTAAATAGTTAATTATAGGATAGCTTTTTCTGTATGATTTCAAAAAACTAGTGACACAGTATATAGGTGTTGGTTTCTTTAAACTTACAAAAAAAGACAAAACAATGTCAAATAAATCCTTTGTGTCGTACACAGCTTTCTTTGTTCCAGAAGAACGATATGGTAAACCTTTGCATCTGCTCAATGCAAGTGCACCAGTCTAACTCAGTCTCTCCTCCTCTTCCTCCTTTCCCCATCTTCATCCTCAGTGGTTGTTTCCTCATGCAGGTTTATGTGCCTCTGTTCGCGTGACAAACAGCGCCTCCTTAGATCCCGTTCTTCGCCTCGTTGTTGTTCATCGCCTCCTTCCTCTGAGCCAGAAACGGGTACATGCACTTGTCGGCGCCCAAAACCGGTACATGCAGACGATGGCCTCGAAGGGGAGGATGCTGCAGAGAAAGGTCAGAGGTCAGATTAGTGACTGTACGGCAGACAGCGTACAGTTAGGACTCGTTTTAAACATCCTCATTGACCCTTCATTTGATGAATGATTGTACGAACTGTATTTGTGTCATTGTGCTTTGAACCCATTCAGTGGTATTTTCACATGTATCTTGTCATGTTCTGTATATTCTCAGATATGTGGTGTTGATATTGGGCTATATGAATACATTTGAATTGAATGGTGCACATAGGGGGGGTTCTGAAAGGGACTGCTTTCCAAGTGGTGCTCCAACACTTAATATCTCCCCTATAGTCTCTGTAGAAGCTTTTCAAAAAACAACTGAAGACTATCTTTTTACATTGGCTTTTGTTTCTACTTGAGATGTGTGTCATGTGTTCCTTTCTGTTCCTTCATTTCTGCCTTATTGTATTCTGTGGTCTTCATTTTCACTTTTGTTCCTTCTTGTGAATTCTATTTCTGTGAAAGTTGCTATACTAAATAAATTACAGTGTCGGAGGAAGCTTATTTAGAAGACAGTGGAGAACATTTCACCAGTCGCAGGGAGAAGTAACCCTTTGCAATAAGAGAACAGTACATTGAAACCCTCTCACTGCTCATTGTCTCAATGTTCATGAACTTTATACAATACCGAAGCTCACCTTTTCATGAAGTTGACCATATAGACGATGCGAGGCGTGCAGATCATGGGCTGGTCGGTGAGGATGGCCCTCATCGACTGCTTCACACAGAACTCTGGCTTCAGGGGGGGGAGGAAAGGCTCAATCTCCTTCCTGTGGGCAGAACATCTGTCATTTACAGGCTCGAAAAGTCACGAAACTCAACATGTAGTGTGTCTGTTTTTCTAGTGTCTTGTCCTTTTAGTTGTGTCTGTCACAAGGGACGTCTTGGGCTTGATTTGTTGTTTGTTTGTTTGCAGGATTACGGAAACACGACTTGCAGGATTGTCATGAAACTTAAAGAGAGTGTGTAGCACAAGCCAAAGAATAACATAATGCATTTTGAGGCAGATCTGGATTAAGGAAGGAGATGCCCTTATCAAGTTTTAACATAGCGAGATATTTCACTTTCTTATTGTGAAGCTGACAAAGAGTTTTTGTAGGAAAGAAAGTTAGATTTGATTGAAATGATTCAGAAACTGGAGTGCGAAGGGCTTTATGTTGTTATCCTTAAATGAAGTGATACTGGTTAAAAAGGCTGAAATGTTGAGGCACAGTGAAGCCACCTGCTGACTGTAACCATTAACCAAAGTGGTCAGCAGAACAAGGGGGGGTGCACCTGTTAGTAAAGTATCTCCTGGGAATGGCTTTGTTTAAGCAGACTTGTACAAATGACTCTGTGCTGCTTTAAACTCTAAAGAAGGTGTTTGCGAGGAGGCGACGATCAGAGAAACTGAAGCCAGATGCAGAGAGCTTCTAAACAAGCGGAGTTAAAGTGAGACGTGTGTGAGGAGGCTGACCTTATCCGGCAGCCTTTGAACATTCCCGTGTCCACCAGGTAAGGACAAACCAGAGTCATGTTGATGCCCTCCTTCTCTGAGGCTTTTATCTCATGGCTGAGCGACTCGTGGAACCCGATGGCACCGAACTTACTGGCGCAGTAATCCTGAGGGAGGAGAGAGAACAGGTTAGGCCAGGCAGAACATTATCAGACATGCCCCGGGCTTTTCTGTGCTGTTAATAATACAGCGAGCTACAGTTTCATTAGCATTCTTCCCCGCTGCATCAGGAGACTGCTGGAAGGTTTTGATGTGGTCCGCCGGCGTGGACATAATCTTTTTTCTAAGGCAAACACAGATGCATGTCGATAAACGCGGGGAGGATAAAGAGATTTGACTGTGCCCGCATGACACACGAGGCTTTAGTTCCCTGAAATTAATGTCTGAAAACACAGCCGAGGCATTTCCAGGAAGTATAATAGCTGCAGAGAAACTGACTAAGTCCCTTTGAAGGCAGACTTAATCGTTGTGGAGGAATGGTTCGTACAAGGAAAGCAAAACGCGCAGCTATGAAAACAAACGCGGTCCCTGTAGGCCGTCTGAAAATGACACTGAAATCTCCAAATAAAAACCACAATTTACTGCGTTTATGGAGATGAATGACTCCACTTAATATTTTAATATGCATTACAATAAGAAGCAGGAGGGGGACACTATAGGAAGGGAAACACTATCCTCCGGGCGCTGCTGTGAGCTGAATACTGAGCGTTGTTCACAAAGCCGTGATGAAGATGTCTCGCTCCCTCGGGAGCTGTCAGAGCCCAATAGGGGCCCCACACCCCCCCCCCCCCCCACTGCTGCAGATTGAAATCTATAAGAGGCTCCCCAATGCTCATCTGTGTCCCTTAATTTAACGGGTGGGGGGACAACTTAGAGAAAGGGGGCCTGACCTCGCTCTGCAGAAAAAGCTCTGGTTTTTGGATGGTGGGAACGCCGGGATGTGTGTGTGTGTGTGTGTGTGTGTGTGTGTGTGTGTGTGTGTGTGTGTGTGTGTGTGTGTGTGTGTGTGTGTGTGTGTGTGTGTGTGTGTGTGTGTGTGTGTGTGTTACTAACCTCCACTCCAGCTGTGCTGAATAAACCCAGGGAGCTGGCAACCGTCACAATGTGGCCGTGATTCAGCTCCAGCATCTTGGGGAGGAACGCCTTGGTGGTCTGAGGGAGACAGAAGGGAGAGGAAGGTTAGTTTGTCTGTGCCAAAGCCCTTTGATCCCCTCTTATTCCCCCTCTTCTCCATGGTGATGCACAGAGACGCGTCTGAATGAGAATTCATAACATGCACAACAAAATATAATCCGACAGAGCAGCAGGGTCGTAAAAGTTTCATCACAATATGATTTTATAGTCGGGGTTTTCGGACAATGTTAGAATACTTGCTGATATCTCTGACTCTGCCGAAATTCAGGCAATCAACGTAACTCAGTTAGGTTTGTATCAACACAACTACAATTTGATTTGACAAGTGGAATAACACATCTGTATTGAGGAGGTACATTTGGATTGAATTGAGGAAACTGAGAATTACAAATTAAAGGCACATCTTAAAACTGTTATGCATCGGCATTTTACTTTTGCGTCATTTTATTGGATCCTTGTGTTAGATTGATAGATCCTCGCAAATGTTATGTACATCCAACTCAGACAATTCTCTGAGTTGTTTTTCATGTAAACTTTCCCCTATTGTTCTTGCACCCCATGAATGCAGCACAGATGCCCTTTCCAGCCAATGTTATCCAAAGTCAAATGAATGCGTTTATCCGCCCTGTAATTCAGATAAGCTCCCAAATCAACCAGGTTCTAATTTAATAATAATAATAATAATAATAATAATGCATTTTATTTATATAGCGCGTTTCACAACTCAAAGACCTAACCCTAATTTAGCCAACGCTGCACTCTTCCACAAAGTTTAAAGAATATCAAGCCTACATTTGTTTCTGTAATCCTGCAGACAAACTGAACCGAAACACAACCTGTTGGCGGATGTAAGAAGTTGAAAGCTTTTCTCCTTTGTGCTAGGTGTGAATTGGATGTTGAAGGAAGTGTGAGGGTTTTCCTTTCTGCAGGTATCCACTGAACAAACGTACGTGTGTGTGTGTGTGTGTGTGTGTGTGTGTGTGTGTGTGTGTGTGTGTGTGTGTGTGCGTGCACGCTCGCTGCTGTACAATCTGTTCTTTTCCCACACAGATCTGGTGAGCCCGGCTCTAAAGACTTGGTGACAACGCCGATCACAGGCCTCCGTTCACTCAACAACAATAAAACCCAGCCTCTGGTCTCTCGGCACAATCAGCAGCGGACCAATCGGCAGCCAGATGAGCGCTGAGCGCTGAAAGGGCTTCATCCACGTGAGAGGTGAGAGCAGCCGCCCAGCAGAGCAGATTCAGGCTTGATTAACTTACAGATCCATTCCTCATTCTGCCCGTCTGCTGACTTTGGACTCCGCATGAGCCAATCAGCAGGTGTGACATGTGACGGCAACGACAGGAACTGACCAATCACTCTCCCCGCAGGAGGTCCACAAACAAACAGCAGGCCTTTTGTTGCTCGCACTGCGACATCTATTCAGGTCAGATGTGTGCTGCCGTAGTGATGAACAATGCATGAAGCCTGCAACACCCTTTCTACTGTCACTGATGACAGCTTCTAATCACAAAGACAGGAGGAACATGGGATGCTAGAAACTGCTTTTTCGGCCATTACAGCTCTAAATAATACCAATATGTAAACGTCTACAGATTGTGAGTTTTTATACACTTTGGGTTCTGGAAAATATAGGTGAACATTTGTTATTACCTTTGACAGTTGTATTCCTAGTTTCCAATAGTGGTGTGGTCATATAACAGTTTCATTGGTTGTACAGTGTGCAGCCCGGCCAGAGAAATGATTCAGTAAACATGTGGAGCATGGTACCAGGTAGTACAGCCATGAAACCACTGGCAGGGAGGAACAGCCTCATTAAAACTGCAACCAGAGATTAACTGCATCGGACCGACTGACTCCTTCCTCTCTGCATCTGAATTGAACGTCAGATCTACACAGAGAAACGGAGCACGATGACTTCACCGCTTTTCTACTGCAAGCTACAGTATAACTGATCTGACTCGGCTCCAAACATCTGTACTTTTTCAGGAAATACATTTTGTAAAACGTACTCAAGTCATCAAATGCTGAGAGGCCCAAAGAGAGGAGAACCTGGGGCAGAAGCTGAGGAAGGTCCTCTGGATGTTGCGTGCAAACGGAGCATTAACTTCAGATATGCCCGTATATTTATAAATATAAATCACTGCAGCCAAAGTTTCCCACTCCCACAGAAAGTCAGAGAGCGGGGAATGACTCGATCTGGCACAGCGCTGCACGGCCAGAGCCAACAGTCAAGATACAACTGGACAATTCTGCTGATTTGGGTCTAAAAATAACTGGGAGTGATGGAGGGAAGGATGATGGTGAAACGCTCCCACCCTCCTCTGATGTCCCGCTTCTCATGGCAGCTCTGGCATGTGGGTATGACCCCCGCTGACCTCTCAGACACAAAATGTGTGAAGGCAACCAGGCGCTCGTGTCTTACATCAGAGCGGCCGTAATTGGGTCTCAACGCTCCCTTGTTCCGCTAAATTACCCGCTGACACAGCCGGGCCTCCTTGCCCTATGTGCGGGTGCTTCTGCCCGCTGCAACCCCTAATTGGTGCGTGCCCCCAGGAGCATTTAAGCCACACAAAGCTTCTTGCAGCTGGGGTGTCAGGCTGCATTAGTGCGAGCGCCTGACCAACAGGAATATGAACAAAATATTGGCCTTTTCGTAGCACCAGATGGCCATTTAATTGGGCTGACTTCTCCCCGGACGAGAGGGAGAAAACGCCTGAGCTCGTCTGATCCGAAAACACAGAGGAATTTGAGTGGGTTGCGTTTACAGGAGGATGGATGCAGAGTGGTCCTGTTGTGGTGGCCATGCTGGTCACAAGCCTCAGACCCCTGATGGTGAGACAACTGGAGTCCAGTTTACCTGAGAGCAACCACAGCGGAGGAAGTGTCTGCACTGTATGCACCCAACAACTCAAGTAACTGGTTCACACTGAGCTTCTGTACATTTGGGTCCATCTAACTATTGTTTTCCAACTTCAATCAACTGGTCTATAAAACTTCTGAAAATAGTGACAAATGTTCACCTAGATGCTCAAAGTCCAAGATAGGTCGTTAAAAGTCTCTGAATTTTGTCCCCAAACTCAAATATTTTCACTTTAATATGATAGAAAACTAAACTAAACTTTAAAGGCTACGGTCAGAATTCTCTGAAGGTTCTTAACATAAATTAAGTCTTTCTCTGGTTTGAACGCACACGTTTAAGATATGTTCTTGAAACAATAGCTCCGAGGATATAAAAGCCACGTGTCAATGTACTAGAAGTTCAGAATGATTAAACCAATTCAAATCTTGCTCCTAAATGCCAACTTTTCTAAAGATATCCACGTCTAAGCGATGGAATAACTGACTTCTCTTTACCCCTTTATCCCCTCCCTGAGATGTGAACAGGTACAGGAGAAACCCAACATGTCCCCGCTGTATCAAGGGCTACAGGTGCACCAATCTAAGGGAGGGGGGGGCATATAAAACCAGTGAAGTAGGACCCTTCTGCCTGGCTGCCTCCTTTCTCCGGCTCCAGCAGGAATGCGGCCTGCAGAACTTGGATCCTGTCGCCTGGCATCTTGTCAAACTGATTCGCAGACAAGAAAGCAATTGTCAGATAAAGTGGGTCAGCAGCAGCTTACCATTACCCTCTCGCCTCTCTGTGGATGGGAAGCCACTGCCTTCCTTCCTCTTTTCCTCTGCTCTTTTCCCGCCATGTCACTGTGGAGCGCTCGCTGCTCTCATGTAACCCAGAGAGAGGATGCTGCTGCTCATTGTGGCCAAAAACCACCTGTTGGGTAACCGGCTCAAGATGCACGGGCACACACACACACACGCTCTAATCCTCAAACACAAGCTGTGGTGACACTCACTGAGGCACATTCCCCGTCCTAGAAAAAAAAACAACACCAGCTGGACTAATCAAAGCATCATCAAACTAATTAAATGTTATGACCCCGTCTCATTAAAAGCTAAAAGAAGAGAGGGGCTGAATCATAGCTGTGTGTGTGTGTGTGTGTGTAGAGCTGGCATGCAGCTGCACCCATTGCCTCCAAAAAGACACACACACACACACACACACACACACACACACACACACACACACACACACACACACACACACACACACACACACACACACACACACACACACACACACACACACACACACACACACACACAACACCACCACATCCAACAACACTCACACAGACACACACACACACACCACACCCCACACAACAACCACCACGACACAACACACACACACACACACACACACTACACACACACACACCACACACACACACACACACACACACACACACACACACACACACACACACACACACACACACACACACACACACACACACACACCTTTACTACACTATCCACCAAATGTAATCGTTCTTGTTTTGCTCTTGAGAAACTGGGCGGGAAAGTTTAATAATTGTCTCTAAGGAAAGCTGAGCAGTTTTGGGGGTTGACATCGCCGCTCTGATGTCTCGTTGAATAATAAAATACCTCTTCAATGACGCTGAAGCATGAAAAGATAACTGAGAAGAAGACAAAGGAAGTAGAAAGACTCTGAATTCATCTCCTTCTTTTATCATATCCCTTCATTGTCAGCGTGCACCTAAATAAACACTTCAAACTTTGTATGACTTGGCTCTAAACTGAGGGTATTAGTTGAGTCATAAACCACAATTAAGCCCTTTTTAAAAGCCTCTTGTTGAGGAGCTGAATCAAAAGGTTTGTGTAACGTGCCACCTGAATGCACTGAGTAACTGTGCTGTGTTTGTGTAAGGGAGGAAAGTGGACAGGTCCCTGTTAGTCTAAGCTCCATTCATCCAGCTTGTGTCTTTAATGAACCACATCCTCTATTCTGCCCGTCGCCATTCATTAAGTCCTCCTTTCATCTGCCACCCCCCCAACTCCCGACCCCTTAAAGAAACCACGCTCTAGTCTCCACAGAATATGGGAGAACACAAACACAGACCCCCATTAAAAAATTCAAAATCTGCCACTGGATCCTGACTCCCAGTCGTGGCTGTGAGAGAACGTGGAGATGGCCAGCAGAGAGAGTTTCACGCTCAATTAGGGGGCTTCACATCATAGAGGATCATCCTCTGCTTCAGGACACACGTAGCTCAAATCGTCACAAATACAAAGATGGACTGTACAGACCCACATTTCCAATTTGTGCCCAATCACAATAAGTGTCCGGCAGAGTAAAGCAATCAATGATGTGAGGCGCTTCAATGCTAAGCAATCAAGTCCCATCAGTAAGGCTTCTCAATGGAGCGGAGAGACTTCCCACACCCTTTAAAAACACATCCGATAGCACTAACACTGCAGCACATGCTTATCTAAAGTGCAACACATTCACTCCATCAAGCCCACGTAGCCTCTCAGATAAGTATTCACATTGAACAAGAGCCAGAGAGCAGAACCTGATACACAACAAATCACTGCCAACAAAATGTGGCTGACAGATCCGTCCCACGCACACAACCTCCATCACGCAGGTTAGATCTGTGCACATCTCCGCGGGCTGACATACCTCGGGGATCTGCGTCTGCACGATGCCAGACTTTAAAAAAGACACACTCATGACTTTCCTCTGACAGAATGAAACTACATTAAAGCAAGGGAAGGCTTCTTAATACTGTCTGTAACACCTTAGAGTCTTCAGTTTTATGAATGGATCCACAACATTCATCTGTTTGCAACTTATATCAATATTCCAATTACTTGTATATCGACTATTCTGCACTATTTCTATTATCTGTTTTATTGTGTTCTGTTGGAGGAGCCTGTGACCTCAGATTTTGAACAAATGACAATAAAAGCCTTGAATCTTGAAAAGAAATGCTTGATCTTGCTCACCCAGAAGTGTGCGTGGCAGTTGACCACCATGGTGCGCTCGATCAGTTCATCAGGGCACTCCAGGAGGTGGTGTCCGGAGACCACGCCGGCGTTGTTGATCAGTATGTCCACGTTTCCCACGTCTCGACGCACCTTGTCAGCTGTGGCGTACACATGCTCACGCTTCCCCACGTCACACACATAGGTGTAGACCTGCGGCTGGAAAGGGGGGACCTCCTCGACCCCTCCAACAGGTCCTGGAGGGGGAAAGAGGGGGAGAAAGTGTGTTCAACAGGCTGCTTCTAACTGGTTTTGTGATTCATTTTAGGGACATTACATGGGTTTAAGATGAGGGAGTGTTGGTGATTTCTGAGTGCGTACATGATTGAATTTTAGAGGGATTAGGAAGTCACTTTTCAGCCATTTTGGGCAACATAAAAGCTCATTTTAACAGTTTGTTTAGCCTTCACAATCTGACAGTGTGCAACATTTCAGTGTGTTCAGTGAACAGAAATACTATCCTTGAAATGTGTTTTCCACACTGCATAAGCCAAAAAGAATTTGACCTAGTTTCCCTGAACATGTTTGAGTTTTAGAGAGATTAAGATTTTCAGGAATTTTGAGCAATAGAAAAATGTGCTTTTAACAGTGTTTAAGACTTGTGGTAAATCTGTAGACTGAACACACACCGTCATATTTTTACACAACTACTATGATTTTCCACACTGCAAACACAATTCGACTTCTCAGAACATGCTTTAAAAACTGATAACATCCTCATTTCTTACCGTCTTTGGTGATGGGAGTGTCCAGCTCGTGGTAAATCTGCCTCACCATCTCGGCTGTTTCCTCATTGCCCTGGCTGTTAATGTCCCAAAGCACCAGGATGGCTCTTCTCCGGGCAAACTCTTTGGCGAAGAGCCGTCCGAGGCCACTTCCAGCCCCGGTGATTACGCACACCTGTCCGGCCACACTCTTCTCCTTTGGTCGCACCACCCATTTACAGCCGGCTGTTACAAAAGCCCAGAGCACCTTGAGAATCACCACGAAGAACTCCGCGATAAGGATCATCATCTTGGTCGGAAGCAGTCAATTAAGCGGCGGAGAATGAAGGGTCCTTCTTCTTTTAAACCTGAGTGCAGCAGATGCCGGTTTGAAAACTTGCAGCACAGGTAGAAAGTGTGGAGTGAGAGAGAGTTGAGATGCAGTCCAGTTGCATTGACTTTTGAGCCACGATCCTCCCACTTCCTCTGCTGAACCTCATCTCATCCTCACCAGCATCTCCCCTGCTATTTATCCAGTCCTCCCATCAACGAGCACCCAATAGGAGGCAGACTCAGAGTCACAACGAAGCTCCATACATTACACTGAGAGGTGATGTAACCCAGCAGATTTTACCTAACACTCATCTGATGCGAGCCCCCCCCCCCCTCAATGAAACATCCCAGAGGAAGATTAGAGAGTAAGCCACTGCTGCATTTATAATTATCTTTTGACTTTTATTATGAAAGTCATTTAGCCTATAATACATTAAAATGCTCAAATATGGCTTTAGACGACAATTGCATACCTTTTTTTTTTAAGCTATTTTTATTTTAATCTTATTTTTTGATTAGTTATATGATCAAAATTTGGATTTTAAGAACATTGTATATTCTCATACCGAGTTTTTCCACCGTGACAGAAATGCAGGCCACATCACAGTCCAGGTCAATGTCCGTCCAAGCAAAACCATCTTTGTTTTTGAAAGAATAACCGCACTTTTGGTCATTTTAGCACCTTTTTCTCCACGCAATACTACACTTAAAGAAGTCTATTAACACATATCAAAGCTATTAACTGACACTGATGCATTGCGATCTGCTCAATGCGGAAAGCAGATCGATAACAGGCTACGTAACCAGACACACGTAAAAAAGAAAAAAGGCTGGACAATAGTACCATGTGTTTCTATGTGGAACAGCCTGCTGCATAAAGGTGTTTTTATTCATAACACAAACATAATTATGAATATTATAATAATAAAAAACAGCTGGTGGCCTATAAGGACATTACATAAGGTGCATTTAATGTAAACATGTGTTTTATGTCCCTTTCTGTGCAACGTCTTGCACCCTTTGAGATGTTTGGTGGGAGTGTCTTAGGGGGAGGGGGTCCCAATGTATTACATGTGTATAATTACAGCAAAACGTAGCCTGGTGCACAATTAGAAGCAAATTATGCCTATTTATAATAAAGAGCAAGCATTGTTAGTTAAATTGTTTTAATATACGTTAGCTCTCTAGTGTAAAAGCTCATAAAATATGACTGCAAGATATTTGATTGAGCATATTAACACATGTGCAGAAGATAAAGGAAGCCTAAAATGGAAAAATATATGATTACTCTATAGTAGTATTTTACCAAACTGTACTTTTTAATCAAATGTAGTGTGCTTTTTTGACCAATGCATTGTTCCTCGTGTCTTATGTCCTTCAACTTCAATCTACCACATTTTCTTTGCATAACCTAGCTGCGCATCACAGTGCCATCTGAAGCGGATGATCGGAGGATCAGTGAATGAAAGTACCTCAGAGACGAGCTGTGATGCCCGGCTCTGCAGAGTGAGGTGGGGGCTCCCTCTGCCGGAGAGACGACCACTACACTCACCTGTGGCATCTGGAGAGGTGAAGATACAGCTCATGTTATAGTACTATGCAAATCAAACACATTGCGAGACCGTGCATTTCCGGACCGGTTTACAGAACACTGGGTCAACTTGGTGCCACATTTTTTAACAAAAGATACAAAAGTCGTGAGGCTAACCTTGTTGTTGTTTCTTTTTTTTATTTCATAAACAAGATCTTGCAGGAAACACTTACATAATAAAAAATACAATATATAAACAAACAGTTATAATTTGTTTACCAGGCGTAAAAAATAAAACACGAGGAGCAAGTATTAAAGGTCCCATGACCATTTCTACTGATCATAATTCCATTGTTGAGGTATAGGCTACTAGAATAGATTTATATTGTGCAATTTTCCAAACTCACATTGGTTTCTCACAGCATCTCTGTACAGTATGTGTATTCACTGAATTTCACTCTCTGTCTTAAACGGCTTGTTGGAGCTCCACTATCACCGCGTCACATTTTCGCCGCGAAAAGAGTAGGCTTGTTTGAAAGTAGACGAGAATAGCCGATCGCAGCCGGAGAGGTCTCAAAAAGCTCGCCTGAAGTCGGACAGCTCGGAGTCTTCTTCTTCTTCTTCTTCTTCTTCTCTCGGTTTTTTGGCGGATTGCAAACAGCTTTAAGGTGCATACTGCCACCTCCGGAGTCGGCTTGACTCGGTTTGCATTTATAAAGAATGCACACATGTGTTTAATCGTTAATGTCAGATATGTACTAAGTAAATACATTTGTTCCTGCTCAAGATTAGATTCAACTGTATTGTTATTGCACAGATTACAGGTACTGAGACAACAAAATGCAGTTTAGCTTCTAACCAGGTGCAACAAGCAGTAAAGTGAAAAGTAATGTTCACAATCTACAGAATAACATATAGAATGAATTGAATGATGAATAAACAGTGAGTGGTATGAATACACTAGATATCAGCCCAGACCCGGCGTCATGGGCGGGCCCCATGGGGCCGGGCCCGCCCATCCAGGATTTGGGCCCGCTGTTTTAATCAGGGCTGAATACAACATTTTAATTGTTTTATTATTATGTTCAGTGGCGGCGCAGGGTTATACTGGGGCGAGGCTACAGCAATACCATAAATGTTAGGCCCCCACATGAAAAATGATTTTAAGTAATCCAAATAAAGGTCCGGCCAACTCTCGCGGAGTAAATGCACAGACAGCAGTAATTACCGAAGACTAGAAAACGGTGGAAACGTTTGTCACGTAGTGATCGTCTTCTCAATAGAACATCTTTGATAATGTCTTCTGGCCAATCAGAATCACGATAACGATACGTGGTGTTGTTGCAGGAAATTCCGACGGAGAATACTTTTGGTGTAGTACAATGCGCCGCCTCGCCGCGCCTCGCTCTCAAGCCTGCGGGCGTCTTTGTCCCGCGAGATTTCAACGTCTCATGTAGGCGAGCCTCCAGAGCAGGGGTAGCCAACACGGTGCCCGCGGGCACTCAGTCGCCCGCAGGGGCAACGTGAGGCGACCGCCGGGCACGTTCTAAAAATAGCTCGCCAAGAAAATCCAAAATGTATAAAATACACAAACAAAAAAGGAAATGTAATTAAAAGAATCTACCACATGCATAAACGAAACCTAAATCATAGCAAACTCTATCTACTTACTCAGTGGCGTTTCTATATGTACAAAAGTGGTGGGGCACAAAAAACGTAGATGTCTATATATAAGCTTTTGCAGTGAGGTTCATGGCTGGTGAGGCACTGGCACTGACTCTTCAGGTTTACAAATATTATATTTTGACCTAAATCAAAATATAATATTATTTTCAAAAGCCTCTTTAGTCTGATGCTTCAATTAATTTTAAACAGACAGTTCAACAGAAGGATACCCAAAAAATGTAATTGTATCATTTAAATATTGAATTGTTCTCTCTTAGTAAGATCCCATTTTCAATACAATTGTGGTCTTACCTTGACTTGAAGATGAAGTCCATTTGCCTATCCTTCTGGACAAAAATCTCTATTACCTTTTTGGAAAAGTTCTCCTTATCTTCTTGTAGTTTCAAAAGTCTATCATAAATCTAAATTATTATTTTTTGCCACACACATTAAATAGGAAAATACTCTGAGCTCCCAGAAACCTGCAGGTCCGCTGCAACTCTTACTACTTTTAAATCCAGGCTGAAGACTTTTCTTTTTGTCGCTGCTTTTAATTGAACTATTCATATCTTAGACTGCACTGTAACTTTTATCCAAGTACTTTTTCTTTTAATGTTTAATTGCACTGTAACTTTTATCCATGTATTTTTTCTTTTAATGTTTATTTTTATTAGCTTTTCTTTTTAATGATGATTTTAAATGCCATTTTCTTAATGTCTTTCATTTTTTGTAAAGCACTTTGAATTGCCTTGTGTTGGAAGTGCTATATAAATAAACTTGCCTGCCTTGCCTTGCCTTGAGCATGCGCAGTGTAGTTTTTACAGTCACCGTTCACTTAGACAGTGAGAGGGAGGGGGCAGAATCGGGTTTTGTCCCACATGGCTCTAAACAGCTCAATAGGCACACACTGTAGACACTAATTAGAAGAACACATACTAAAACAGCAATGTACAGACGAATCAGAGGATTAAACATGATCTTAAAATATATATATATATTTTTTTGCATTTTGTTGTAATCATTATTTGTAATACTTTCTGCTGACACTAGGTGGGGCTGTGCCCCACCTGCCCCTAATGACCAGTCGCCACTGTACTTACTACAACTCTATATCTAACACCCCTCCTCCCCCCACCCCCACAATGAATATCGACCAATCACGTTCTTGCTTGATTTGCGGGACCAGCGCGTTCTTATTATACATCCATGGACCAGCGTTGCAGTCGGGAAGAAAAGCAATGTGGCACCTCCCCGCTGATTTTCCTTCTGGCAGAATCTACACAACACATCAGCCCCATTGAACATACAGCACATGAGGGGCAGAGTTTTACTGTGTGTGTTGCAACTTGCATATTTATTTATTGCACTTGACGCACACACACGCATGGTGTAATCTCCAGGGGGACATGTCCCCAGCACTTTTCGAAATCCCGTTTGTGTCCCCCCACTTTACAAATATGTTTATTATTATTCGTGAACGCAAGCCGTCATCGCCACGGAGGAGCATACAGCCTGTGTGTGTGTGTGTGTGTGTGTGTGTGTGTGTGTGTGTGTGTGTGTGTGTGTGTGTGTGTGTGTGTGTGTGTGTGTGTGTGTGTGTGTGTGTGTGTACCCCTTTATCTATTTAATATAGATAAAGTAAGAAATCATTCCAATGTGTACAATAGGACAGTACAAAAACAGTTTAAAAGGGGAGTGATTAGTAAAATATGCATAAATAAAAGGAAAGAATGTAACACAAGATAAGAATAAACAAGTTTAAATTATTTGTTATTGGTTGTGATCATATTCTAAAGATGTTTGGATTCTTGAAAAGTATACAGCTCCCTTTCATCTGAGTGTTGAGCGCTGTGTCCATCAATTCATGTTGTGCTCAAAGTGCACCAGATTGATGCATTTCACTTAGAGGAGGTGAGGTCCCCCCTGGAGGATGTGAGCCCCCCCCTAGAGGAGGTGAGGCCCACCCCCAAATAAAGCAGGTTAAAATAATTAAATTGCATGTTATTTTAGTAAACAC